GGTCCCCCCTCTCTGGGGTCCCACCTGGTCCCCGCTGCGGGCGGTGGAGTCGCAGGAGCTGTTGTGGGGTCTGCGCAGGGGCACCCACTGCCCCCCCCGGTCGAAGGTGATCACAGACTGGATGGAATTGTCTGGGATGGGGCACCAGGAATGGCAGGGAATGATGGGGGGGGTCAGCACAGCCCCCCCAGCACCCCCAGAGTGAGTTTGGGTACCCCCATCCCATCCCATCCCATCCCATCCCATCCCATCCCATCCCATCCCATCCCATCCCATCCCATCCCATCCCATCCCATCCCATCCCATCCCACCCTAGGGGTGGGATCCTCCTCCCCTTCATCCCCTTAGATCCCAGTCCCAGGGGTGGATCCCAGATCCCTGTGTGTGTCCCCATCCCAGATCCCAGGGGTGGATCACAGATATCAGAGCTGAATCCCAGTGGCAGCTCCCAGGGGTGGATCCCAGATCCCAGAGTGGATTCCAGAGGCTGATCCCAGGGGCTGATCCCAGGGTGAGTCCCATATCCTAGGGTGGATCCTGGGGCAGATTCCAGAGTGGATCCCAGAGGTGGATCCCATATCCCAGGGGTGAAACCAGGGGCAAATCCCAGGGTGGGTCACATATCCGAGGGTGGATCCCGGGGCAGATTACAGGGTAGATCCCAGAGGTGGATCCCATATCCCAGTGTGGATCCCAGGGGTAGATCCCATATCCCAGGGGTGGGCCCTGGGGCAGATCCCGGGGTGGATCCCTGGGGATGGATCCCAGAGGTGGATCCCATATCCCAGGGCAGATCCCAGGGGTGGATTCCCATATGCCAGGGGTGGACCCAATATCTCAAGGGTGGATCCCATATCCTGGGGTGGATCCCATATCTCAGGACAGATTCCAGGGGCAGATCTCTGGGATGGATCCCAGCTCCCAGGGGCTGATCCCATATCCCAGTGTAGATCCCTGGGGTCAATCCCACATCCCAGAGCCCATCCCGTGTCAGCTCCCAGCGCACCGTCGGACAGGACGCTGGTGATGAAGGTGCCCCTGAGGGAGGTGACGTTGGTGAAGTCGGTCTCCCCGCCCGTGGTCGTGTACAGGTGCCTCTCCAGGGACTTGGAGTAGATGATCCCGCGGTCGTCGGACGTGTAGATGGTCCCGAATCCCGTGTCTGCTCCGGGGGCGGGAGGGAGCCACGGAGTGCCCGGGAATGGGGGGAATTAGAGGGGTCCCACAGGGAACCCCCTGGGAGCTTCCCGTTGGTGTCCCAACATCCCTGCCCACTCCTGATCCTGGATCCCGCTCCCAATCCCAGATCCCAACCCCAGATCCCACTCCCAGCTTCTGCTCCCACACCTGCTCCTGGATCCCACTCCAATCCCAGATCTCGTTCCCCATCCTATCTTCCACTCCCAATCCCAGCTCTCAATCCCACTCCAACTCCAATCTCCCACTCCCAGATCCCAATCCCAGCTCCTGCTCCCAATCCCAGATCTCGTTCCCACTCCCAGTTCCAGCTTCCAGTCCCAGATCCCACTCCCAATCCCAGCTCCTGCTCTCAGATCCCACTCTCAATCCTAGCTCCCACTCCCAATCCCAGCTCCTGCTCCCACTCCTGCCCCCGGATCCCACTCCCAATCCTGGTTCCCAGTCCCAATTTCAGATCCCACTCCTGGATCCTGCTCTCAGCTCCCAATCCCAGCTCCCACTCTCAATCCAGCTCTCAATCCCAATCCCATCTCCCACTCCAAATCCCAGATCCCACTCCCAGCTCCAGCTCCCAATCCCAGCTCCTACTCCCACTTGTGCCCCCAGATCCTGCTCCCACTCCTGGACCCCACTCCCATCTCCTGCTTCCAATCCTGCTCTTGGATCCCACTCCCAATCCCAGCTCCCAATCCCAGCTCCCAATCCCAGCTCCCACTCCCAATCCCAGCTCTCAATCCCATTTCCACTCCCATCCCCCAATTCCAGCCCCCACTCCCAATCCTGGCTCCCACTCCCAATCCCAGCTCTCAAGCCCACTCCCGCTCTCATCTCCCAGTTCCAGCTCCCACTCCGAATCCCAGATCCCACTCCAATCCCAGCTCCTGCTCCCACTCTCCCTCCCGTCACCTCCGGGCTCATCCACGTGCATGAACACGAGGTCGTCGTTGGCGGCCAGGATGGAGTAGAACTGCTCGTGTCCCACCGAGGGCAGCTGGGCCATGTTCCACGAGTCCCCCCCGTCCAGCGACACATGGATGCGCCGCTTGAAGCCCTGCGGGAGCGGCACAGCCGGGATAACCCCGGGATGGGATCGGGAAAACCCGGGCACGGCACCGGGATAACCCCGGGATGGGAACGGGATGGCACCGGCATGGCACCGAGATAACCCCAGGATGGGATCGGGATAATCACAGGATGGCACCGGGATGGGTTCGGGAAAACCCGGGCACAGCACCAGGATAACCCTAGGATGGCACCGGGATAGCCCCAGAATAGGATCGGGATAACCACAGGATGGCACCAGGAAAACCCTGGGATGGCACCGGGTTAATCCCAGGGGTGACACTGGGATAGCCCCCGGGACGGCACCGGGAAAACCCCTGGGATAATCCCCGGGATAACCCCTGGGATGGCACCGGGAAAGCCCGGGATGGGATCGGGATAACCCCGGGATGGCACCGGGATAATGCCCGGATGGCACCAGGAAAACCTGGGATGGCAGCGGGATAACCCCAGGATGGCACTGGGATAACCCCGGGATGGCACTGGGATAACCCCGGGATGGCACTGGGATAACCTTGGGATGGCACTGGGATAACCTTGGGATGGGGAGAGCCCGGAAAAGACGGGGAAAGGGTGGGATCGGCACCTGCTCCGTCATCACGGAGGCGAAGAGGAAGCGGCCGCCCATCCCGAAGGAATAGATCCGGGAGCCGATCACCTGGAAGCTCCTGCCCAGGTCCGGGGTTTTCTTCAGCTCCAGGAATCCCAGATCAGCTTCTTAAGGCAGTGGGATGAGGGGGGGGTCAGGGAGTTTGGGATCCTCCCAGAAAACCTCCTGTCCCCACCCCCAAATCCCTGGACTCACTGCAGGAATCGTTCAGGAAGGTGGTGAAGAAGATGGTGTCGTTGTCACCCCTGGGAGAACAGGGAATGTGGGAATTCAGCCCCGGGAAAAGGGGAATTCAGCCCCGGGAAAAGGGGAATTCAGCCCCAGAAAAAGGGGAATTCAGCCCCGGGAAAAGGGGAATTCAGGCCGGGGAGGGGTTGTTTTGGGGAGGGGATTCCCGAAATCCCTCGGGCAGGGACTCACCACTTGGCCAAGCAGACGGATTTGTGGATCTCCCGCCAGTGCTCCCCGAAATCCGTGGAGATCCAGAGCCCCTTCTGGGACAGGGGGGAGCGGGATGAGTCCCCCCAGCACCCTTAGCCCCCGGCCCCACCAGTGTCCCCAAACACCCCAAAAGTGTCCCCTCGCCCCCCACAGGGATCCCAGCCACCCCACAGGTGTCCCCAAGTTGCCCCCCGAGTCTCCCCAGTTGCCCCCAAATGTCCCCAGTTACTCCACCACTGTCCCCAGTGCCCCCAGTGCCCTAGTACCCCCCAGTGTCCCCAGTTCCCCCCTCAGTGTCCCCAGTTGCCCCCCAAATGTCCCCAGCTGCTCCCCCAGTCCCCTCAGTGCCCCACTGTCCCCAGTGTCCCAGTTGCCCCCCCAGTGCTCCCAGTTCCCCCCCCAGTTGCCCCCAGTTCCCCCTCCAGTGTCCCCAGTGCCCTCAG